CGAGGCGAAGACCGTGCAGACCGTGCAGACCGTGCAGATCGTGCACGACCACGACCCCTACGAACCACCAAACGCCATCCCAACGGAACCGACCCACCGAGAAAACCCCCTTCAAAAAAAAGTCCAACCTGGCGACTCCTCGCTCCTGTTGAGCCTGAGCGCATCGGCCAGCACCTCCTCCAACCGCGTCCCGTCCACCCTCCCCCTCACCACGAGCTGCTCCTCCACCAGCACCCCTTTCACGCTCAGCGACGGGAAGACCTTCCGGCCGGGGACGACGTGGTGCCCCCGCTTCAGGACCAGGTCCCTCGCCACCTCGCGGAACACTTCTCCCTCCACCTTCCCCGCCTTGATGTCTTTCAGGGAATTCACCTGAACAAATAGTCACCGGGATAAATATTTCCATTCCGATTCCATTCCGATTCGACACCGCCTCACCTTGCCCGTGAATTTCTTGACGGCCGTGATCTCGGTCGGTCGGTCCACGCGGACGGCCGACTTCAGCAGCGGCTTCAGGTGGTGACTGTTCACGCTGCCGGTCACGTTCAAGTTCCCCGAGATGTGAACAGGATGCTCAAACACGATGTCGCCACCTCGAGAGTCGAAACCACGCAAGTAAAAACGAGCCTCGTTCAGATCCACCCATCACAGAAAAACGGAAAGTTAACAAGTAAAAATAATTGCATAAATTAAATAAATAAACAAAAATGAATAAAATCATAATAAAGTTAAAGAAATAAACAAAATCATAATAAAATAAATAAAATTTTAATGAAAATAAATAAATAAATAAAATTACATAAATAAATAAATAAAATTATGTAAAATTAAAAATAAAATTACATAAATAAATAAAATAAATATATAATCACCGTGAACCCTGGAGAGGGAGAAGACCCCGCGCTGCAACTCCCTCGCGAGCGCGGCCAGCTCCTCCACCTCCACCCGACCGAGCTTCCCCTCCACCTCCATTGACTTCCTCACCATCACGTCCTTGAACTCCACGAACCCTGGGGAAAAAAAAAAATGCTACCACGACGATCGCAACGGGACGCGGATCCCATCGAGCTCCGCCTCACCGGTGATGTTCTGGTCCCCGGACTTGGTGAGGACGTCGGCCATGGGCTTCTCGTTGATGCGGGAGGCGTTCAGGTTGCCCTGCACCGACATCCCGTGGATGAAGATCTTCACGGCTGTCGGGGGTGGAGGCGGTGGGTGAGGACTCGTTCTGGAGAGGGGGATTTTTTTTTTTTAAATATATTTTTCGGTGTCCTTACCGGGGATGGCGGCGTCCTCGTTGGGGTAGATGATGTCGTCGGCCATGTCCGCGACGTTCAGGCCTTGGAGCTCTCCGAGGGCCTCGAAGTGCTCCACCTCAAGTTCCTGTGCCACACAAACGGGAAATTTCATGGGGGTTGTTGGAGGGGTAAGGGGCAAGAGAGGTCGAGGAGGTGCAAAGGGGGGGGCAACGAAGGGCCGGGGGGGGGGCAAGAGGATCAGACCGCTTTGCTGCCGCCTCACCTCGTCGAACGTCCAGTCCCCGACGAGGTAGTTGTCCTTAGCGAGCCAAACGGCCCGATTACCGAGCTCGCTCAACTTCTGACCGTTTATCCCCTTCAGGCATTCCACGTCTTTGGCATAAATGGCCTCTGCAAGCAAACCCACATGTCCTCAAACTCATTCTCGCCGAGCCCGACGGTCGCGAACTCGTCCGACCCCGACCGTACCCATGCGCTTGGGACTCCGGATCGTGACCTCCTTCTCGTCCCTCCCGACGACCGCGCCCAGGAACTTCTCGAAGTCGACCTCGTTGACCTCCCTCACGGTCATCGCGTCCGTCGCCACCGCGTCCACCTCGTAGTCCCCCCAGAGCTCCTGCGGCCGGCTGAGCGACGCCCGGTGCTCCAGGAACCGATTCCACCCCGTGCCGCTCAGCCGGTTCCCCCGGATGTCCAGCCCCCCTCGGATCACCAGCTCCTCCACCTTCACCTTCTCCTGGAATATCGCGAGCTCCGCCGTGTCCTGGAAGAGACGCAAGAAACTCGACGCTTAACCGACATCTCTACCCTCGTTGCAAAACTATCATCGCTAAACTCGCATCGCGCATAGGTCGAAACATTTTCCCAACAGACTCGCGATAAACTTCAACTTCACCAGATGGCTCCGATCACCCTCTCTCTTTCCAATTAATGACTGATGAATCGATAGGCATCAGCTCAGTTTACTCAGAGCATCTTCAGATTTCCCTCTCATTTCCGTCGGAGAAGGAGGCAGCTGGGGACCAGTAACCCAACCGGAGTCCCCCAGTCACTTCCAACACCCAACAAATTCAAATTCAACACGACGCTGGGAACTCATCGGCCCATCCCTCGCGAACCGGACGCAAACCGAACGAAAACCGGACGCACGGTCTCGCTGCGGAGGTCCGCAAGGTCGTCCAGGTTGACCGTCCCCCGAATGTCCAGCGTCTCGAACGAGGCCCTCGGGAGCTGGAACCGCTGCGGGATCACCTGGTCCCGCTTCGACGAGAGGCAGTCCGCCAGGTCCTTCAGCTGGAATCCGTTCACGGAGGCGGTCATCGCGTCCTTGAATCCGCCCAAGGAGAAATACTTCTTTCCTGGATGCAATAAAAATTTTAAAATAATAAATATAATGAATTTAAAAAAACTAAAAGTTACAAAAATATATAAATTCGAAAATTAAGCGTAACAAAAAATCGCGAATGAAATACACGCAAGGCCTTTACCTTTGATTGTCGCATTTTTCTTCCGTGACACGAGGTAGAGAACGGACTCGGTGTCGTTGCGGTTTTTCGTGAAAGCCGCTGTTGCCCTCAGCTCGTCCAAGATTTTTGGGGATTCGAAGACCAGAGTTCCGGAGGATTCTATTTCTTCCTGAGAAAAAAATTTCATTCTAATCCCAAGTCAATTTTAAGGGCACCCGGTGCGATGTTTCGATCGGCTTACTCTCATGATGATATCGTTGATCAGCTCGTAAAACTCCAAGTCGAAGATTTTGGGCGTCCTGATGGTCCCACGGACGTGCACTTTCCCCTTGAAGATCACATTCTTGAAGGCGTTCCTCGGCTCAGAGGGAGTCGAGAGGACGCTGTCGGGCCACATGTTGTTCAGCGTCCCGTTCAGCTGGAAGAGGACACAACCCCCGCGTGAACCAAGTCATCCGCGTGCAATCGAGCGACGACGAATTTCCCCCATACGTAGAGCTTATCGAGGAACTTGACCGTGCCGTAGAAGGTCTTGGGAGCCGGGACGAGGACGGGGCCGTTCAGCGGGACGACGTCCGTCGGGAGACTCAGGCCCTGGACGAGACCGTCGACCTCGACCGGCCCTGCCACCGTCAGAGTCCCCTCCACGCCTTTCAAGCGCCCTGTCCACACAGCCACGCGAGCCCCATCATTTCACCCAGACCGATGCGATGACGGTTTTACGATCATGGGGTGGGGGACGGAGAGTGGAAGGTGGGGGACGGAGAATGGAAGGTGGAGGATAGATGAAGGTCTTCATATGCAATTTCACCTCACCACGTCAACGATCCGCCAATTACGGACTTGGCATATTTTCAAAGAAGCGATGAAACGTTTGTACAAAAACCATGACTCACACCAGATACTCAAAACAATCTGAAGCAGGTGCGCCCCCGACAAGCTAAATATTCCCCCTTTCCTCGGTCATTGACAAATGGAAGTAATCACACCTGCAAACCTCAAGTGTCGTCTCTCGAAAGATTCCAGGAAAACAAACTCCACAAACCGGAGTGCCGTGAAAATTCGCATGCGCCCGATGTTTACTCACATGGGGTTTTTCTGTCCAGTCGATCGATGGCTTCGATCGGGTACGGCAAATTGTTCAGCAGACCGGTCTTCAAATTCTCCTTCAGCTTGACGCTCTGACAAATTAATAAATACAAAGTCTTCATAATTCCAAGTCAAATGGCGACGCAAACCAGAAATGTAAAAACAAACCAGTCGCAAACCATCCCTTCGACCACATTACTACGCACGGAACAGAGGGTATTCGAGAACACTGGTACGAGCAGTCCACGAGAGAACTCTCAAGCGTCCTTCCCCCCCACTCACCCCCACGACCGTGACATTCCCCAGTCGAACCGGCGAGTCCGTGCTCGCAACGCGGAAGAAGGCGTCCACGTCCTTCCCGCAGAACCGCCCGTCCAGGCTGATCCCCCCGTCCACCGCCAAGGTCCCCCGCACTCGCTTCCCGGCACGGATCAGGACCTCTCCGTCCACGGTGACGGCCTGGCGGGCCAGGTCGTCCATGTCCACGCCCTGCACGGTGGACGCGTATAGGGACCACACCGTCACGTTGTCCTTGAAGTCCAAATGTCCTACCGAATATCGCAAATTCGGTGAGCTCGAAAAATCCGCACAAACGCTCCCCACCCCCCCTTCCCCCCTCCTCACCCTGCACTTCGTGATGATTATCGGTGGTGACGACTTCCTCCGAGACGTCCACCCCACCCACGGTCGCCCCGTCCTCCAGCGTCACGTCCCTCCCGGCGACGAACTCCTCGAACTCCAACTCCGTCTCGATCGCCTGCTCCGCGTCCGCCCTCGCGATGTCTGCAGAGGAGAACACACGATGTGAATGACAAAGGAGGAAGGGGAGGGGGGGCAGGAGGGAGGGAGGTCACCTTCCCGGGGTTTGTCCATCGTTGAGGCCACCACGGAGTGGTAGACGTGGGAGGTGTCGGAGGAGTCTCGCTGGAATTCGCGGATTGCGTCCACCGATGCCTCCAATATATCTGCTTTCAAGCTTATCAGCATTTCCTCTAACTAATCAGCAAAAGTAAAAACACAAAATTAGAGAAATTGTCTGCCAGTGTCGAAAACGCCGTTCTATGCGTACTGAAGAGAAAAGGATCGTGGCTGTTCTGCATAACTTAGGAATCCTAGACACGGAACATAATCTTTCCCAAGGAATTTGGACAGGAGTAAATGGATAAAAAAAAACCCTTATCCTCATGAAAGCAAGAAAATAAATATTTCCAGAGCCCCCAAAACTAGTCGAACTAGTTTTGAATATCTGAAGCTAATTTGAATATCAAATATCTGAAGCGCAGGGATGTCTGCGCTTCAGATGTAAAGCCTTGTCCATACCAATCAGAATGCGTCTCTACAGTCCTGGGTGGGAGGGATTTATCTCACCCCATTCGATTCAAATGGGACTGGAGGGGGGATTTCTCTCCACCCACCCACTTTAATTTGGAAAGGCCTCAGCCTATAAAAGCCGCATACTATTCGATGCAATGTTGCACTGGGGGATTTCGGAAATCCTGTACTCGATGCCAGTGGGTTCACATTCATTATTCACGATGAGGGTAAGGGCAGATTTCGAAACTCGGGGTGGATCCAAAACGACCCGAGGAATCGAGGCGATCGCGGCAGACGGGTCGGGACTCACCGGCAGCGCCGTCGAAGCCGATGCATGTCGAAGGCACAAAAAGACGAAGACGAGGCGAAGGACTCTCGTCATCCCCGACTGTCGATACATCGTACGCGGGGCCGACAAACTCACAAGGATTCGGATGAGCTAGTCGAGTCCCATGCAAGACACGAAGGAATGAAGCGACGAGGGAGGGAAGGTCTCGTCTCGACGGGTCACCTCTGTCGACTGCCGCGCATTCGAGGGAAACGGGGGGAATGCGGCGAGGGAAGACTTGTCCTTCCAGCTTCGCGGGGCAGACGGTCGGGTCTGGGCGTTCTGTGGGCGTATTCGAATTTTCCAGATTTTTTTTTTTTGTTTAGCTGGCCTCGAGGCCAGAAAGCACTTGCACACAGAACGGGACGTTCTGTGTCTGTCTCACACTTTCCTTGCCTGCTGAAAACTAAAAAAATATTGAGCTTGTGAAAATTGGCTGCTAGATTGATGTGCGCAAGATACAGGCTAACTACGTTTTGGCAAAATTATTACAAAATACAAACGTAAAATTTTAATTGCATATTTTAAATTTATCTCACGGCAGGAAAGGCACGAGCACCCAACAGCGTCCCCGCATCTCGAGTGCGCATGCACGTAGCACTTGATCGGGATATCACGTCCAAAGACCTTAAAGAAGACTGGGTAGTTTGTGGTGGCGCCTTTGCTGTCGGGGAAACCTTCTGCCCTGGTGGTTGGCCCTGGAACTACACAGAACTGACCAATCGGATCATTGGATTGGAATGCCGCGTGAAATATGGCTGCTTCTGGATCCAAACACGGCGCCTACGCACCACGCCAGGAGAAATTTGGCCAAATGGATGGAGATGTTCTGTTGCATCGGTCTCCCAAGGATCCGGAAAGGCAAGCGCATGTGTTCACCTAGGGCTTTGCACTAGGCCTATGGTCATAGCTTCACATATGTAACAGGCGGATGAAGTAATTTGCTGAGTAACCTCGATGACCCTAACGCAAATGTCAACATTTTCGCATCTTGGATTGACAGGCTTGTTAGAATGGGACGACTTCAATTTTGAAGGGACAAAAACAGGCTGTGGATAATTATCTTGCAGCTTTGCTTTGGATGTACAGCCTTATGTTCTTTGGGGTCTAGTTTGGTTACAGCTGGCTTCTACTCGCACACGTTGTTGCTGGCAGCTAAACCAAAATGTTCTCGGCAATAGATGAGATTGCCATTGTGATTCAGCGATCTCCAGTTCATGAAAATAATGGAGCTTGTAAATTAATAATAATAATAATAAAACAAACTGATTCCTTGCTACATAGGTAACCTACGCAGCATGCATCGTCTTGCAATTCTGTCTGAATTCAAGAATCGTAGCTCCCCCCCGGGAAGATCCTCCGAACATTGCTTTCCCAATTCCTCTCCATGGTCTTCCGCCAGCCATGTCTATCAGTCACGCGCAATAGGAATGTCGTAAGACTTCGGGCGCGAATTCGTTCAAGAGACACTAGCGCTCTGCTCCAGGAAGCGTTGACATTACGCGTAGTTCGAGGGCCAACCACCAGGGTATAGACCGCCATTGCAGTTACCCTGCTTTCGCGCAGTGTCCAGTCTTCTTAGTATAAGGCCTTTGATCACGTCTCCACCCGAAGCCGCCACTTCCCTTCCACCATTCACGGCTGACGGATCCACTGCCTGCAAACGGAGAGGTTGTGCAATCCTACGCGTCGTGCTCTTCTCAGTTCTCTCACCCTCTGCCCACTTACGACATCCTCTTGTTTCCAGCAGTCATTAAGAAGAGGCATACTACTGGAATTTTTTTTTCATGCGCCAGACTAGCTGAAACGGTGTGACAAGGCCAACGGTAAAGTATCCTGGCTGAGGCTCAATTAGACGCCGGTGTTGGTTTTGGTTATACCGAAATATCTTCCCTCACGACCCCCCCCCCCCTCCCTCCTAAAAAAAACGGCATCAATTAACCATAGAAGCGGCAACTGCCGATCAATCGACAGTTCATCCGTCTCAGGGTTTAACCTTGCCGCTTCTAGGGTTAAGTGAAAACATCAGAAAACTTCATGGCTCCTACAAACACATTCCTCATGGCGACTTTGCTTCAGAGTGATCCTGATATTTGCACGGTTGGTTCACGCGTGAAGGCGAGATACGGAGAGAAAGGATTTGATAGGTTTATCCAGAACATAGAATGAATTCCGGGAACATCCATGCAGCATGACACCCGATTGTGCCGACGATAAATCAGGGAGATTCCGCCTGTACATGCGTGGAGGCCTGGTCTGGGGCTTCCTCGACTAATATTCATGCAGGATCTCAACCGTATCGTATCCTGATAAATGTCCTTTCTCTTTTCCGGGTGTGGGGGCAAAGGGTACCTTCTTGCCCCCCCCCTCACTTTATTTTCCTGGTTAGATGCATATCTGACGGGAGGATCGTGTTCTGGCCTGCGCATTCGCGGAACCCTCCTCCCCCCTTCCTCTGGGGTGTTTTAGGCTATCTCCCGCCTCTTTCGGGGAAGTTCTTACGCCTATGGATATGGCAGAATTGGCGTCTGTTAACCAGTGGAGTCACAGTCCAACATTACAGATATTCGACCTCCCGCATAAATACAGTGTCCTCGCTTTGCGTCGGGGATGCGTTCCCGAAAATCGCGACGCAAATCGAAACGACATTAACGGAATCGAAATTTTCCATAAGAATTAATGGAAATAGGGGGGATAGGTTCCAGGGAGAAAATCTTTTTGCCAGACAAGGACCATTTTGTGCATAAAATGTACAGGAACAAGCTTTAAACATTTTTTATATTATCATTTTCATATTTTAATTAATTTTAAACAAATACACAGAACATTACTATACCACGTAATCTAACGGGTACTAACTGGCGATGAGGCGAAGGCTGAGTCGGCTGGGTGAGGGTGGAATGGTGGTGGTGGGGGTTTGTGGCTGTCAGAGATTGTCCACCCTATTCTGCTTCTCACACCTCTCCTACGTCTTACTCGCCTTACTCGTCGTCTTCTCGCACCTCTTCCTCTTACTTTTATTTCTTGCTGATATTTTCGGAGACGAAAAAAAGCATCAAGGGTCGAATGTTTGGCTTTATTTTTTATTTTCTAGATATATTTCTTTATAACACTTTAACTTGCCCTAAACACTTCTATACACTTTATCACTGCACTTGCTATTAGGATCTAGGTCACTTAGCATTTGCAAGCCACTTTCAATCGTTTCCAAAGCCTTAGATAGACCTTTTGCCGTCAAAGTACGCACTTCTTCCTCTTCCTCTTCTCCTAGTTCCTCAGCTTCTGAATGCTTCATAGCTTCAAGTTGCTTGAGATCTTCGTTAGACAACTCCTATTCGTGTGATTCAAGAACCTCCGTGACGTCATTTTCTTCAAGTCCAGTAAAGCCAGCTTGCCTGGCCAAGTCCAGAATATCCTCCTTCGTAGAGGGAACATCATCTTTAAATCCTCTGAAGTTGTTGACTGCTTCTGGCCACAGCTTCCCCCACACACCATTCATACAAGCCTCCGTCACCTCTCTCCAGGCGGCGCCCATATTGCCATGGGCCTTTAGGATATTGTAGTCCTTCCAAAAATCCATAACAGTTGTCCTATCATCTGCACTGGTGGATTCCACGAGTTGGCCGAGCCTTGGACGCCTTAATCACCCCCTGATCCATTGGTTGGATGAGTGATGCGGTGTTCGGTGGAAAGAAGACAACTTTTACGCGTTCAGATAGGTCATCAAGATTTACAGGGTGAACTGGCGCATTGTCGACCAGCAATACGATTTTGAAGTCGAGATTTTCACGAGCACAATACTCTCTCCACTTGGGATAGCAAGAACGTTCAGCCACTCCGAAAAGATAGCTCCGGTTATCCAGGCCTTTTTGTTCACCCTCCAGTAGACCGGTAGATGATTCTTTGAAAATCCTTTTAGAGTGCGCGGGTTGAGAGAATGGTACACTACAAGTGGTTTCATCTTTTTATCGCCCATAGCGTTCCCACCCAGTAGTAACGTGATCCTATCCTTTGCAGCTTTAAATCCAGGTGCCTTCTTCTCCTCACGTGATATATAAGTGCGAGTGGGCAACTTCTTCCAAAACTAGCCCGTCTCGTCGACATGAAAAATTTGCTTCGCAGAATACCCGCCTTCTTCGATGATTTTCTTCAGTTTCTCAGGAAACGTCTCCGCCGCCACGTTGTCGGCACTTGCTGCCTCACCCGTGACCTTGAGGCTGGAAAGCAGTGGTTCTCAACCTGGGAGGTGTCACCCCCCAAATGCATGAAGGTTCAATGGGAGTAAAAGGAAGGTTGAGAACCACTGCTGCAGAGGTTAAAGCGTTTCTTGAATTTGTCGAACCATCCTCGACTGGCCACAAACGATGATGATCCTTCACCTTCCTCTTGCCTTATGTCGTCGAACAAGCTTTTAGCCTTGGCTTGTATGAGCTGCAAGCTAACGGGAATGTGCCTTTGAGTCTTATATATCCAGATTGAAAGGCGCTTCTCCATCTTCTCCATTACCGTATTCCTTGTGCGGCTTACTTTGGTCGCACTTACAGGAGTTACTGACTCGCAACTGGCACGGATCTTGTCCGAATACTTCCGAATTGTCCTTACGGTGGTAGGCGTAAGTCACATGGCAACACCAATGTCTACTGCATGTTCACCCTTTTCAAATCTCTTCAACACTTCAAGTTTCGTGCCCAAAGAAATACTTTTCCTGGTTTTCTTAGCAGAAGGCATATCGCTCTTAACATAAGGGTGCTTTCCACTCATGGTGATAGGTGGGAATAAATGTTCCACCACAAAAAGCACAAAATAAATAGCGATGTACGCACACGTGTAACTAACGTAAACAGCAATATTGCGTCCACGAGAACAGTGTCGGTCGCCTCTGGCACTCCACCGCGCAAAGTAGTCCACACTCGGCGACGTAAAAACGAAACAAAACAACGACGCAAAAACGAAAACTTGCCCTAATAATTGAAGACGCAATAACGAAACGACGCAAACAGAAGCGACGCAAAGCGAGGACTTACTGTATACCATCGTGGTATCCTAGAACCTTCCGAGTCTCAGGCTCTGCGCGGGTCGGACCTCCGCTTCAGCCACGTCCCCAAGGAAGGACCGCCGCGTCGCATCTTGCTCGGTTCATAGGGCTCCCTCGTCCTCTCGCGTCCGCGCTGGCAAGCTGCCTTCGCCG